AAATTTAAAATGTCCAAAAGCTTTTTACTGGACGTCCATAAAATTCTTGCATTTGTCCCTAATTATACCTCCTCCGCTTCGTTTATCTCTCAGTGCTCCATATTCTTCGCCTCCAGGCACACCTTCCCTTGGAATAACCCGCAGGTGGATATAAGATCCTCAAATAATCTTCATGTTTTAAAGAGAGGCAGTCAGGTCGGTATATATTATGGGTAATGGGCAATGCCTTTGAAAACCCTACTGGAGAGAGTACACACAATACCTAACTTAAAATAAACACGTTACTAAACTATTGCCGGTAATACTCGCATTTTGCTTAATACTGTCTTTAAAATGCAGGACTGAAACTCAAGAACACTCAGCTGTATGTGATAGCAGTAAAATGAAGCGACAATCATGCGCATTAACGGAAGTTATATGCAGGGCGTTGGTTTGGTATAACAGAGCTGTTCTGTCCAGATAAGCGACATTTTTCGAGAAAATATACATCTAGTCCTTGTTTAAGTGTCCGTGGAGTCTGCTACTATCATATCTTCGGGAAGCCCGTTACAGTCACCGATGACTCGCCGTGAAAATGAGTACCGGGGCACGTCCAGGCGGTATCGGGATCCTCTAAGTTTTAGAGAGTTCCCACGAAGGTTTTTTGTTGTGGCCAAGGTGAAGAAATCATCGAGGTGTAGGACACAGCCCCGGTTCCTCAAAATTCACCCGCATCAGATCTCTTCGGGTCTGTCTGTATTCATGAGAAAATAGGTTAAGCTCATAAAATCTGTAGTTGTAATTTAAGGTCTTGAGGCCTTTCACAATTTTAGTCGCTATCCTCTGAACTCTTTCAAGCCACTTATAAGCTCTTTTAGCCACGAGTGCCACGCTTAGATCCCGTATTCCAGTCTCGAAAGACTGAACGCTCTGTTTAATTCTCCAAATAACTCTTTGTCTATATCTATGAAAGTTCATTTAACGGCAAAGAAAACGCCGGTTGTCCTTTTCGCCGCCTCAACGCATTGCGAAAAGAGCATGAACGTCGACCACAAGTTGAACCCAAGGTCTTCTTGTTCGGCCACAATTAAAAGGCACCTTCCGCTAAGCAGGTAATGGTAATCCTCTCTATCGGCGCTTCCATTCGTTTTGTGATGCAATGCGACACACTTCTCAAGGTCAAACTTTAGCAGTCATTAGTCGGACCATTCGCATGGACGGTTCAGTTCTTCTTGCAGGGTCCGTTTATCATTTTCCCCATTGATCGCTCACCAGAACTTGATGCCATCGGCAAATATGACTCCATTGCAGTCCAGTCTATTCATGCAGTGGTTAACATAAATTAAAAACGGTACTGGTCCGAGCATAGAGCCCTGAGAACTTCATTCACAACTGGCACTGGCGTTGACTTCGCACTGCCAATGCACATAGACTGGGGTCGTCAATTCAGAAAGATCTTTACCCAGTTTAACAGGTTTCCCCTTATCCCAGACTCTTGGACCTTGTAAAGTAACCGGTGGTATGGATTAATATTAAAGGCTTTCTTGAAATCGATGCAAATGATGTCTACTCTTGTCCCTTTGTCAAACGATCGGGACAATTGTTCCATTGAATAGAGCAGGAGTGATTTCATCAAAAGCCATGTTGGGAACCAGCAATGAAAATATTTTCTTCAAGGAACTTCATAATGTCTTTTTGACCATTCTGTCCATTACTTTGCGGCAAATACATGTTAGGCTCACCGGCCGATAATTGTTTGCTCATGTTCTAGATCCACCCTTGTGAATGGGATATACATTCACCACTTTCCAATCGGAGGGAGAATGCCTCAGTCAAAGGACGACTGGAAAATATGCAAAAACGGTCTGGCGAGTTCGCAAGCCAAATACTTCAGGCCTTTTGTCGGCATTTGGTCTGGACTCAGAGATTTGCACTCCTTAAGCGCTAGAAGTTCCTACCTCACAGCTTCTTCCGCGAAGTCGATGTTTTACATTATTTCATCGATTGTTCCAATAGGCAATTCCGCATCGTCAAAGTCCGTTTTATCGGTGAAAACAGATGCGAAAAACCGCCTAATACGTTTTGCCTTAACGCCGTTTACGATGATATCATTATCTTCTCCTTTCAACAATGAAACCGTCTCTTTGTTCTTTAGCCTGCTGTTGATGTAACTAAAGAGTATTTTTGGCCTGTTGACAGCCCGTTCCATAACTAGCGTTTCCTGCGCCTTCCGCAGCCTGCGGAGAGTCGACCTTACCTCGTTTCATTTCGGCGAAACTGCTCATAATGCGAAGGTCGTTTTGTTGTTGCATATCTTCCTCCTTGTTTATTCTTCAGTTTGCCTCTTTCTTTATATTCCTTTTTATCCAGGCAGGACGATTAGTCTTTTTGACTCTCTCTGCCTGACAGTTTCGATGCACGACGCTGGTTAGAGCTCATTTGAGAGTGTTCCAATCAACATCTGGATGTCCGGCAAGAACGTCACCTCAGCTCACTACCGATAATTCACTTCTCATGGCGACAAAATCTTCTCGTCAGAAATTCAGCCAAGGCTGCGCTTTTATCTGAATAGTGACTCGATACAACTTTTATCATCCTTATCCTTCCTGTTAAATTTTCCCTATGAATCTGAAAAAGGTCCCTCGGGACTTCGACGTATCGCCATCAAATCAGTTTGTCTGCTCACACCTCCCTAACTGTGATTTCGCTTTCCGCGACCTTTCATCATGATGTCGGTTTTTTCGATTTTTTCAGTCCGTGCATCGTGTCCCTTACAAAACGCTTTGCCACGCCTGACCAACCCCTCAGAAAAGTAACTGGGGCCATGTGGATGCGCACGCTCTAAGCCGCACCTTCTCGCTTACAGCCTACCCTCATTTGGATTCCGTTCAGACCTCTGTGATTCCGAGCTCTCATCCACATTGGTTGTCCCACCGTAGGGTTTCTTCTCCCGAATATTTCTTAAAAAAGCGACGGTCCCCTCAATTTTTTAAATTTCTTCTTTCGTAGATCGTCATCGTTTTTGAAAAACATTTAAATTTGGAATATGTGAATATTATTATGAAAATGCCGCATGCAAAAGTCATAATCATGGGCGGATGGAAACTCTGAAACTGTATGCAACACAATTTCTAAATTCTACTGCATATCTAGCCGCCAACGCAGACCGTTACTATCTACAGTGTCTGAATTTCACCATGAAACTCACTGTCAATATCATTTGATAACGTCCACTCGGCGCTTAAAAATAAAACTACCGTTAGTAGTATTATTACCTCATTCTCTTCCCTTTGAGCTACGAACAGTTCAGCGGCGGCTTGGTGCAAACATTACGTACTGCAAGCAGTCAGGACTGCTGTATTCTGCATGGAGACTTCCTTGAGCTAGCAACCCCAATCGACATTCGAGGTCATCCACTCAAACTACGTGTGGCTGGCGCCAGGTCTGATGCATGGAAATTCCTCTTCTCTATAAAATTGGGTGTAGCTGGGATGTTCTGCCCGCAGTTGTTGTCTCGTTTACACCCGTCGAGGTTTTTTTGCGAAAATTGGACCAGTATACCATTACACACCACAATATCGCCCGATCGATATCGTTCTGACGCTCCGCGCTAACAATTTATTAATGATATAATATTGCTGTGTATGTTCCAGTAACGTCTGATTACTTAGATCCTTAATGCCCGAAACTCACTGCACGCGGATAATGACATTGGCTTTGACATCTGCAGATAACCGAAAGCGTACTACTTTTTCTGTGGCACAGTGACTAATAGACTTGATGGTGTACAACTTGCGTAATAGTGTTAGTGTCTTCAACAAGGGAATAATTCATTTATTTGCACGCTTTGATAATTCGTCTGTAGCTGTTTGATGTTTCCGTTTACAACTTTCACACACTTCACCCTTCCTTGTAACACGTAGGTAATTCAAAGGACAAAACCTACATTCCTCTTAAATTACCTGAACTGTAATCACCGTCTCCCTTGGCAAGTCGATAACCTGTTTCAGTTTTACGTCCATCACTCACGTTACTTAGTTCACTTCTTAAAAGTTTCCTGTTCCGAGGCACCGTAGACTCCTTTAAATGGGTGACTCAGTATATCACTTCTTTATTGAATAAAAGCGCTGAGTGCACAGCAAAGCACTACCGACATTTCGATCGGTCCATTGGAAATTCTTGAGTTGAGCTACCGCTCTTGTGCCTTTTTATCTGCCGTACAAATATCCATTATTTGACTTCGCCAACTCCGTATTGAAATTCGGTTGACATTTTGCGTTTTGATAAAAACCGCCTCCATAATTGCTTCGCCAAGTTCCACAGTCAGATATCTGCCCCATCTCCAGCGCACTCTGTTTAATTTGACTGGAGTACGGACCCTTTCACCCACTCTTGCCATACCTCGACTTAAGGTGTTCGGTCGTTTGACAGCTTATGCATCTCATATTTCCTACCCACCTTTGTCTGATATTTGACGTCATTATCACCCGATGATAATCAGATGCGTCCTCCAGTATCCACGACTTTCATTGTCACCCCTAATCTTTTTAGCCTTCCCATATCTACGATGTTATGCGACTATAGTTATAATAGGCACCCGCCTATTGGGTTGCCACTTGCATGATAGAGGTTTGTGATGTTCTTCAGTCTGACTCGTCTGACTAACACATAGGTGGTTGCAACCGCCGTGCTCTTGTCCTACATTGCCTTATTCTCAGCTCCCGCATACCCACTGAAACATATAGAAGGTACTATCGACTGATGAATGTGGGTCCAGACCCACAAACACATTTAGGCGCAATCAGCCTGAATGCGTTGCTGACCGGAAATAAATGGCACTGTTCAACTTCCTCGATTTCGGAAAGCTTCGTGTTTTAATAAACTGAAATAGTGCTCGAAGAACCAAAGGACCTGTATTGTCAGTGATGGGTCGCCGCCCCTCCCGTTCGCTGCTGAATTTTTCGTCTTTCACACTAACTTGTATTCTCTTCTTGATATCTTTTTATCTTGACTGCCGTTTTATGGCTTTTGGCGTGTGTTCTAAGTTGCGTCTCGTCCCGGGCGCAATATACCCTCCGAACTTTCAAATCTATCGATTTCTCACATTTTTCCTTGTTAACTCCAGCCTTCTCCTCCTTACATTGGATGTTCTCGGCTTCCTTATTTTCGATTGTTTTGTTCGCAATCGATGGAATCTAGCTGAAAGGTGGAAATATCTTGTTTTGTGTTCATGCATTCCCGGATTTCTTTGCCTCGTGTACTACTATATAAAATTCGCGAACTCCAAAACTGAGGCGGACATCTACTCAACCTACGTCTCGGGCTCCAGTGCCTTCGTTGCTGCAGTTTTTGTAGTGGTCAAACAGCTTTCTAGTGAATCAATGGGCGGCCGGTACTCTTTACTTCTTCACCATTATTCTGCTCTCGCCTACCTTACCTGTGTCCTTGTTCTTTCCTTAGTTGAGTTTATCCCACCGATTTCTTGTTTATATTCGTTCTTGGGCTTCTTAGTCGGATGGACCTATTTGCGGTTCGTGCAAAAACACACCGATGGTAAAAGGGGCGACTTCCGCACATCTTTCGCTTTCGTCAGGTACGTTTCTTAGTATGTTTTAGTCCCCTTGTCGGATTTTAATGTAGCATACCAGTATATGCGTCATTAAGTTGTAAAATGAAGTAGTTCTCTGAATTCTTAAACACTTTCCCGTTCGCACGCTTGAATGTTCGTCTCTCATCTGCTCCTGGTGTGGCATAACTACTGCAAACCAACACAGCCGATACCTTGAGCGCAGGGGACCGTTCTAGTCTATGACCTTGGTCGGGAAAGAAGGTGGAAGCTAGTGGTTATCATTGAAATGCTCAGTACCCAAGGCAGTTGCAAGCATTCTTTAACTCATCCGGTGACAGCGGTGTCTGCATCAACTCAAGACGCCTAGAGGTGGCACCCATAACGAAAAATTCTCTGTCAGTTCTGAACAATGATGGCAAAGGCGGCCAGAGGTGATTGCAAAAAGTACTGGTGATTGAGCAAGTGCGGAGAAATAAAGGTCGTTCTGGATGACTGGGGACCAACCATCTTTGCCCCTGTCCTGAAGGTCAAGTGCCCGAACTACCGTGATATAAGCCTCATCGACGTTACTTCAGGGGCCTTTGCTATTGTCATACTCTGGTGACCTCAGAGCGTGCCCGACTGGGACGAGACCAAAGCAAATTAGGTCCTGAGCCATATATGGGTTGGTCAACCAGGCACTCACACTTCGTGGTATTCTTGGATTCTGCAATGCCTGCCAACAACCGACGACGGTCTTCTTCGTTGACTTTGCCGCAACGTTCGGCTCTGTGCATCGTGAGCCACTGTGGCGGATAAGAGCTGGATGACATGCCGGCAAAAATTGTTGTGTGATCGAGACCCGCTATCACACAACCACTGTACGAGTTCTGACCCACACCAATCTCTCGCAGTCGCTCGATATTCGCTCTGGCGTTCAATGAGGTTGTACTATCTTGTCCTTCCTGTTAAAATACGTCATTGATTGGATTTTTTGAAGGGCTCTAAGCGGTTCTGACAGCATTGAATTTGCATCCGTACGCCGGTTGACTGATCTAGACCACGATGACGACATCAGTCTGCTTGCTTCAAGCATTGGTGACCTACAGTCTGTAGTGCGCGGGCGAATGAGGTCGCTAAACTGGTAGGTTTATTCATATACGCTGGGAAGACCATTCTTTTCGAGCTGTATCACTGGTTAGGACACCCCTGGGGATTAACAGTTATCACTTCGAAGAAGTGGGCAATTTCAAATATACGGGAGCGCATTTCCCGCCAAATGGACAGACATAAGACGACATTGGGTTCTGAATCAATGCTACCTGCAGAGTTTTCAGTTTTTAAGAAGTACTTATGGACTTGACGCGACATCTCCTTCACCAAAAAGATCAGCGAGTACCCGGCATCCGTCCGTCCAGCTCACTTATACAGTTGTAAATGCTAAGCCATACGCGTGGAAGGCAGGACTAGATGAACAGGATGAACGTATTCTATGTCACATGCCTGTCTCAATAACCGGTAGAGGTTGAGCTTGATCTGCTATTCACATACAATGCTGGCTTCCGATCTAACAATAAATAGGGTCGTCCACTAACTGTCAAGACGAAGATCGCGGAGAGGAGTTAACGGAAAGGGGGTTGTTTTAGAAACAATTCCGGCGATTGAGACCGTTCGCTTGGTCTTTGGCAATTAGTTGCGGTCTGGGAATGAATATCGCTAAGCGGCTGCCGCGGATCACGGCCTGGTGCGACCTAGAATGGCCTACATTGTGACCCACTAGCAGAACGTCACGCCTAACAAAGTCAATGAATGACAGATTTATGCCTCGACAGATGTGTCCCGTTTCGCATGACAAACAAAATTTATTTGGGAATGGGATCTGTTGCTCATAAACTACTCATTTATTTGCACTGAAGACGACATTCATGGCGAGTTTCAGGTTCACTGCGTCACGAATGGTAGTCTTCCGCTGTTTTCGGTTTCCGCGGACTATTTGGCATGCAAGTCTCAGCTTCAATCGTGTCTATCCACACCCAACAGGACCTTCAGTCAAGACTAGGTTCCAGGTGAGATGACAACCCGGACGATTTTGCATCCTGCGCAAGGCAGCATAATGTTAGTCTGCGAGTCAAAAAGGTGGCAGTGGACGAATTGAGTTCCCAACGAACTATATGGCAGTTTTGTTGAAGACACAATCACAGAGGCAGATTCGGACAATCGAGTGCGGACAATGTCATTCGGATACCTTCGGGCGCGTATTTTCTGAGCACCCAAGTAATCCCAAATACATGGAAAAATGGTCTTCACGAAGGCCTCGCATATTGGCAGCTTAGTCGATCTCACACCAATTCCAGAAGCTTTGACAAAGTTTGGCAAGGGCCGCGCATGGCCGGTTTATCCGAGCGTGGAGTCCATCTTTGCCCTAACCGTTTGATGCCAAGTCCGACCGAAGACAACATTAGCTCTTCGCTAGCTCAACAGTTTCACCGTATGCCGTGGTCGGACATATGCTTCGGACTTCGAAGCCCAAGACAACCATTTTGTTCTTCAAACGGCTATTTTTAGACCAAACTCGACCACTTTTACCCCTATGTGGAAGACGGCGCATCATATTTCCCAAAAATAAGCTCGAAAGCACCAGAAAGCTAACGGCCCAGTCCATACATAGGGTAAACGGAAAAGAACCATGGGGTGGTGTGCTGGCGCATTTTTATGGCTTCGTCCCATTAAATATATGAATAAACGTGGTGGAGAACGCAGCTCTGCGGAGGCCAGATATAACAGCTAAGAAGTAACTTCCTCCCATTCACAGAGACTTTCGTTCTTGATCTACGATAGTTGGCGCTCAATAAAAGTAGCCGTATTGGAATGCTGTTAACTAGCATGACCAGTGACAAGGAACCCCGACTAACTGTCAGGTACGGAATCGAAATCCACGAAAAAGAACAGAAGGGCTTGTTGGTGCCAGTGGCGGTGTTAGACAACTCGACGAGACAAGACGTGTTGAACAGATCACCTCCTCGGCACCTTAATGCTTGGTGAAGGATTTTGCTTACGACTAAAATTCGGGATTTTGATACAAGTTGGGTTCGTTAGGCACCCAATTCTATCTTTAGACAGAAGTCCAGTCCATGAGGCAGCCATAAAGCGTATGATTTACGCCATAACGCTCTCTTCGCAGCATACGACGCGTTGTAAAATATCCGATGTGATGGACCCCAACATTTTGCACCCTGCTAACGCTACGGCTGCTGGTCAACAAATGATCTATTTTCCCCACTCCGGTCTGCTTATGTCTATGCTCACGTTTGCTGAGGTTCGTTCTATCAACTGCCATTCTTAGACGAACCGGAGACGACCCGAGCCGACGGAGAAGTCAGTAACCAGTGGTCGTCACTGAAGACATCAGTCTATGGGGCAGCTGAGAAAATCCTTGGATACACCCAGCGACGCCGCAGTGACTGGATCAGCGGAAGAACTCTGCAGTTGTCTGCTCAGACGACTAGAGCCAGGTCCCGCAACGATGACTACTTCCGCCAACTTCGGAAGATGACTGCAAAATCGACCAGGGATGACCGGAAACAATGTTGGGCTGAAATAGCGACATCCATGGAACAGGCCTCGAACGTTGGTGACACTCGAAAGCTCTACCGTCTAATCCGCCAAGTTAGTGGTAAGCCCTCTACACCGACTGACTCTGTTCGCGATGTGAACGGCGGCTTTATTGCTAACAACTCGGCCAAAGTCGAGCGCTGGCGTGAGCACTTTGAGCACCATCTCAACTTCGATACCCAACCTACATCGTCCTTGTTCTCCTCCTCAGCGGAGTTTCTTCCCTCTCCTACCTATGCAGTGCCATGCGATCCCCCCTCCGAGGAAGAAGTCGCCGATGCCATACGAAAGTTGCGCAACAATAAGGCACCCGGAGAGGACGGTATACCCGCTGAAATCTTCAAGTCTTGTGTCGACACTCTGGCGCCCTGGCTCCATGAGGTGATTGAACGAGCGTGGAGAGACGAGGTTGTTCCTGCTGATGACTGGGGCTTAGGCATCCTTGTACCTATCCTCAAGAAGGGAGATAAAACGAGATGCGAGAACTACCGCGGCAAAAGTCTCATGGACGTTGCTGCGAAGATCTTCGCTATTGTCCTACTCAGGCGATTCCAGGCTGTGCGTGACTCAAGGACGAGGCCCAACCAAGCCGGATTTCGTGCTGGACGTGGATGCGCAGATCAGATATTCACACTGAGGCGCATTCTCGAATTTCGCCATAGCTACCAACAACCGACGGCCGTCTGCTTCGTTGACTTTGCCGCCGCTTTCGATTCCGTTCACCGTGAGTCCCTGTGGCGGATGATGGCGCTAGATGGTGTACCGGCAAAAATCATCGCCATGATCAAGGCCTACTATCGCTCCACTACTGCGAGAGTCCTGGTCCGTAACAATCTTTCCCAACCGTTCGGTATTCGGTCTGGTGTCCGACAGGGTTGTATCCTGTCACCCATACTGTTCAACTACGCTATTGACTGGATCCTCGGGAGGGCCCTACCCGACAGTGACGGCGTTGAATTTGCACCCGGACATTGACTGACTGATCTCGACTATGCCGATGATATCGCCTTACTTGCTTCAAGTTTTGGTGATCTGCAGTCTATGGTGTCACGGGTGAACGAGGTCGCTAATTCAGTCAGTTTGTCCGTAAACGCTGGGAAGACCAAAGTATTCTCAAGCTGCATCCCTGACCAGGAGAAGGCACCCCTGGGGATTGATGGCTGTCAACTTGAAGAAGTGGACAGTTTTAAATACCTCGGGACGAGGCTGCTGCCTAGTGGACAGAGTAAGGACGACATTGTCTCCCGAATCGATGCTGCCCGCTGGGTTTTTTCAAGCCTCCGGAAATGCCTGTGGAACCGACGTGACCTCTCCCTCGCCATTAAGATTCGCGTGTACCGTGCATCTGTCCGGTCCGTCCTTCTCTACGGTTGTGAATGCTGGGCTTTACGCGTGGAGGATGAGCGAAAACTGGAGGTATTTGATCACCGCTGCTTGAGGATCATCCTTCGAGTGAAGTTAACCGACTTCGTCTCAAATGAGACAGTCCGCGCTCGCTGCGACAACATCGCAAGGATAACTCAGGCCATCCAAGAAAGACGACTGAGGTGGTTCGGGCATGTTCTTCGTCGTCTACCTCAGTAGCTCAGTGTTACTGCCCTCGATCCGGCACCGTTGCCCCATTGGAGGCGTCGAAGAGGGGGTCAGTTCAAAACCTGGCTCGACACTGTCCGTCAAGACATGGAAATGGTTCACGGACCTTCGGTATTCGGTCTCTGTCGTTGGCGAAGAGAATGGGTTGAGCTGTGTAAATCTGCTGCCGCAGATCGTCACGCGGGGAGAGGTACAGTTCGGGACATTATCGAGGCCGGCTAGATCAGGCATGATCGCAGCCGTATCAAGTTCAAGTAAGTACAAGAACCGGAGGACCAGCAATTATGTGAACAGGCAGGTTTACACGTTACGGATGACAGTGCGAGCGTTTAACGCTGTCCACTTAGCAGTAAAATGGAGTACATTCCGAAACTGCAGGCAGAATTGGGAAATTTTTTAGTTTACCACGAGAGATTATTGTCTACTCGATCTCTCGGACGGCTTGATATACAGCCTATTTTCGATCAATAGTCCACGAAAGATCGTTCGCTTATAATAAAACAATGGAGAATAGCTCTCATGACGGTCTTTTTGTGACTTCTTAAGGAAAAGGCTATAAAGGAAAGTGCCTGAAACTTCGAGCAAAGTGGTTTTCTCGCGTTAGCCGTCCACGACTTTCTGGAATTTTGCTTTGATACTCTGGTCTAGTTAGAGTAAATTTTGTCCGAACTTTGTCGGAGGGTTTTGGATTCATCGTGTCCAGCTGGAAGAAATCTTTTTTGAGTAACTACCGTTTAGTGAAGTTCTACAATTCTCTACGGTCGTGGCTCACTAGCTTCTTGTTTTTTCAACTACCAGGTGCACGCAAGCAGAAGTCAAGAGACTTGGTACCGTATATCATGCGGAAACTTCGCAGCTGAAACCCAACGTTATCTTCTGTTGGACTATAAAGTGTATAAGCCTTCGAATCTTCCATCGTAACAATGTTATTTTACAATTCGCGTAAATCTAAGTCTTGCACCAAATCAATTCAGCTCATTAATTGTCATCTTCCGGTCTGTTTTTTTTCCCGTTAATAGCCTAGGCTACGTATGTAGGCATATTCGCCCCATTTTCACCGGCCTTATTGCAGACAGTGACTAAATATATTACCGAATTTCCGCGAATTAATACGTTTTGCATCAAATGAAGTTCTCCTTCGCGTTTTACTCATTCTAGATTTTTTCCTCCGCTCCTCCAGCCGGTTTTGGCTCTTCCAGTCAACCTAATATATGCTGTCGTTGTCGCTTTTGGACTGTGCCCAAAAGTTGGACAGCAGTACGAAATAATTTCTGCTTCTACTTTCACCTCGGTTGACATTAATAGAACTGGCTCCTCATCAAAGGATCACTACAAGTAAGAAACAAGTTTTTCCATAGACCATTTTTGTCTTCAATCGCAGGACTCTTTACTTGCCTCCTTCGGCTGTTCAGCCTTGCAGAGTAACCGTTCCGCCTTTTTATGCTTGGCATTCAACCAGATGTAATTGACTCTTATGAAGGCACATGTGAACTTGTGACATTTTCTGCGGTTCTACTCTTCTCACTCAAGAGCTTGGAGCTTTACCTAGTTTAATCCTTTTACTGGATGTTGCAGCCGATTTTCATCCTACAACTGTGATTATACCCATTTATAGGACATTGGTCTCCTTAGAATTGTAGTCTACAGGTCTGCGAGGATTCCACAAACCCAACCTCGTCCAGCGCAAAAGTAATTTCAGCATGGAAGCCACGGACTCCCTTAATCATGTCACTTTTTTATGACAAGTGCGGCGGGTGCATAAATAATGTTAATTGCAATTTCAAGCGCCATAGGATTTGGCGTGTTGTAATCAGACAGTCCTATTTTGCTCAGTATTGCGTCAGCCATCGCTGGAGCAGGTTTAACCGGCTCACCTGTCCACAGCATCTTGAACTGAACTGATGCATGCTCTTTGAGCTAGTACTAAGTTTTCGAAAATCGTCCACTCGACGTCCTTTTCTCGAGTACCGATCTGTTGGGAATGCCATTCTCTCCCGTTGTGGCTTTAGCACACCTGGCTGTTTTTCGATTAATCATTACGGCGGAGATGTTAGCTTGATCGGGGCTTGGACCGACGCGGTTTGTGGGTAGGCCATCTGCCAAAGTGACGTTTTGCTGCATCACTACCAGGTCCCAGATTGGCCTACCGAGTTTGATCTCCGAGCTATCGTTTGCTAGCCGAAGCCGTTATATCGTACTGGTGCCTCATTTGTCAGACACCTTGTTGCGAATCGCCAGAGCGCAGATTTCATTTGTTGCAGTCCATATGTATTAAGGCATTACGTGCGGTCCTCGCACAACCGGAAACTCGCAAATACTTGGTTAAGGGATATTACGCTTCCTCGAAGAAGTTTCCAAGCGGGTTAGTGTTGATGCATCGGAAATCCGAGATGGAGAAGTTAAGTTTTAATTTGATGTCCGTATTCTCACTGAGCGCCATTGACAGGACTTGGTTTGTTATGTAATTAAACAAAGTGACTGAAGAGCCTTACCTTTTTAATATTGTGGCGCTGGCGAGAGCTACTCGTACTCTACCGTAGACAAAACTGTGCTCGCGCGGGCTTTTGGTAGGCCTCAATTACGTTTAGTAGTCTCGGGGATATGCCACCAATGCTCCGGTATTTCAAAATGCCTCATGTCTTTTTAATTTGAGGCCATATTCTGCCGATGTCGGTGCCAACCTCTTTGGATTTGATTCAGTCGTTGAATTTCTTTGACCTTCAGCAAGAGCTTAGTTTTTGTTCGCGCTGTCACATTAGCACGTAACTAAACACCCCACCAACTGCCCCCTCTTGGACAACGAGGTTTATGAGCGTCTAATTTATAGGTGGGCGTTTTCAAAATTGACTTGAGACGCAGACAAATTTTCATAAGTTCATCGCGTGAGGAATCCTTGGCGTCTTCGTCGATACCTACCTTCCAGCTAAAATGAGAAATGTACTGACGTTTTTTCCCTATAATCGATTCATTCATTCGACAGCCCTCACGTTATTTGAATACAAAACAGCAAGGATATCTTAAAACGCCAAACCCGATCGTTAGTCGCGAGCGACTTTCTTTCAATAAGCCTAGAAAGGTACTGAAAGCAAACCCGCCGGGAAAATTCCTGGCATTGTGACATTCTCGGCCGAGGGGTTGTCCACACGTGCATGACCATCTTCAAAACATAATGCTGACCTAAAATTTTGCCCCTTACTGCCAAATCGCCAAACCACTTTTGTCTGGCCTTCTCTCTCTGTGCGACTTTCTTTTTTTGTCTCATTCTAAGTCTTGATTTTTATTGGTTTATAAGCTTACATCTACTACCAAGTTCACTTGGTAGAAACTTGCGTTTCATAAGGTCATTCCTGGTTTGCAAGCATTCAGTCTAAGTCCGGGCAGTGCGACCCCCTTTTATTATAAATACGTACGTTTACCATGCAGGCGGATAGCCCTTGAGAGTCTGAATGCAAGACTCTCTCAAAAGGCGTCTGGATCGGATCCATTGGAAGCCTGGCCGACTCTAGACGAAGGCACTGCTCCTGGCCAATCTGGGAACGGGGGTCTCGGATCGACTCAGTCTCCGCCATCAGCCCTGGCCTCCTCCGCTATCAACGTCAGCCTGCCGCAGTCAGCGAGTGTGTTGTCGGAGGGGGAAGGAAGCCGGGAGGAGAACCGAGATGAGTCAGCAGTCCAGGTCTGATTGGCAGCGCCAAAGGAAGGAACTACCGGATGGGCTTCTCTGCTGCCCCTATCTTCTGCCTTCCCTGTCCCCGGCCTAGTACTGAATTTCTATCGGCATTCCAGAAAACTTCTGTCTAATCCCTCATTTGACAGTGAATCAACCATATGTCACCATCTTGTCTATTATTCACCCATCTCCGGTGACCGCTCTTCAGGATGTCTGCGTCGAGTTGATGTAATGGGATGAGAGCTCTACTTTTTTACTATCATTATCATTCTTCGTAGTTTAGTAGAATTGCACTTTCTGGAAAGTGCACACTACAGAATTATAGATTCTGTTTGTGACGGAGACTGATTTTCACACAGAAACAGGGTCATTTATTTTTAGCCAGTTATTTTGCTGCTGCCCTCGCTTCTCAAGGGCATCGTAGCTGTGAGTTACGTTTAAGTTTATTGAGCAAGGAATGGTGTTAGCGAAGGGATTACTATGTCAACTGAGTCCGAACCACGCTCTTCAAGCCTATTAACCCGATCAAGGTCGTACAAACCAGCTAAATGCGGGGCACATTCAAATTCCGCAAAGTAGGTGTTGTGATTCGAAGACTACCTGGATAGGCTTTGGGATCGCTAGAGTACATTCAGTTCAGACCTCTGTTGGACGAATGCCCACTGCCTCCGCAAATTTAAAATTTGCTGTTGTCTGCTTTTTGTCTAGATGTCTCACCACAATTATGTCTATGATATAGTGGGCCAATTCAACTTATATCGGAAACAACATGAAAAAGGAGGACAGCCTTCACTGGAGGTTCTGCGCTGTGTATATCAAAGAGATGGCTGTGGTTTTTGCTCAAACGACGCTTTGTAACGGCCTCCAGACAGCGGGATGTCAGTGTCTTCCGTCATAGTTATAAGCCAGTTGCTTATTGAATTGGCGATGTGAGTTTAATGGTTCCTGTGTATGTATGCATTTGTTTTTGGAAACTTGGGTTTGATCCACAACAACAGGTAAAGTCCCACATCGTGTGGCAATAAGAATACCCCAACGGCACAGATGTACACATTTAGCTCAGGCGCCTGTTTTTATTGCGGTTGCACTCATTTACGGTTAAGGCGGATAGCGCTGCCTCCTCCCTCTTCTTCAGGACTCATATTATTCGCCTGCATAAACCGGTAATAACAAATAAGGGAGACCGGAAAATAGACTGTCGGGAGGCCCGCATTTGCGTTTCTATTTATCACAGTGGGGGGATTGTCAAAGGTCCAGGTCGGGGTTTTTGTTCAGGAAGTTGTTCTTAGCCTTTGGTGGGTTCCTTCTGGTGGAAAAATGACCGTTTAATGGACTGTCCCTGTCAATGCACTGACTACCAGGATTACTTCCCAGACCTTCTATCGGTGACTTATCTCCATTGGCGGGACTCTGAAGGAAGGGCTTTCTGTTGGACCCTACAAAAGCTGAAAGTGGAAGAAATTTTAAATTTAACTGTACATTGGAGCTGCTGATGGCACGTGACATAGGTTAGGTAAGCCCGAAGTTGAAGCCACATTGTTAAGTCTCAGCAATCTTACGTGGGTTCTATTCTAGGTCACAGGCCAGCCACTGACGCCCGAATCAGACTGGAAAACACGAAGACGTGTTTATTGTGTTTGCGTGTGCGGTCGGTCCGGCCATTCCTAGTCTGAGTAATTCCCACGGTGACAAGTCCGCATCATGCCTTGCGTACACGATGTATGACGCCCTTTGGCGAGCTCACCTGTGGCGTCGTCTTCGTGTGATATTGCAGTCCTGGTGAATGTCTTTATTTTTTTTGCTTGTGCGCCCTGAGAACTCAGAAGGACTCATTTTTTTAGGAAGAGGTCAAATGTTCCACTTAGGAGTGAAATCTAAACCGTTGTTTGCACATAACGTTACTTTAGAAACCCTCCAGCCTGACATACATGCTTATTTTTTCGTTAGAAAACCGTAAGCAACCAGTACTCGCGGACGACCTTTGGGAGACCGCTAGTGGCGTTTTAAAGTAACGTTGCAGTTCTGGCACGTACTGGGTGCTATTTGTGCGTTCCGGCACCCTAGTTACATAGACCCCCACTAACCCTTCCAACGCCTGCTGGGAACTCAATAAGCGTCGAATTCCCTACATTCTTACGGAAATGGTCCCGTCTTATGAGTGGCGTGGGCACGTATGCCAGACCAAAAAATCTTACATGGTAGAGGTGGGAGAAGGTCGTTTTGCAAGTCCTGAAGCGATTTAAAAACGATTGCCATGAAGCAGCTGGGAAGCCGGGACTGTATCGACATGGGCTGAACATTTATAGACGTGTTTCCCCGCTGCGTATTTCCCTTGGCTTGGCAAATACTTGTGATGCACCAGAGAAGTCCACGCGATTTCGGGTATCGTGCGGACCCCAGCGAAGCTTTTCGTGTGATTTTAAGGTCCACTCGAGCTACTCTAAGCTACTGCGCCAGCGTCTATTAGCAACAGCAAAAGCGGCCGCTATCAGGTTACGAAGACCGGCCTTGTGGGCGTAGACGAACTTCATTCGGGCTCCTAGCTTGCCGTGGTCAAAGGTCGACTAGCTACATACCACTCTCTGTGCCCTTCCGATCTCACCCTGTCTGTGTTTTAGAACAAACTTTAATCGACATCTCCAATCACGGAAATGTTCGACTTGCACCCCGTTCTCGTATAAATGCACTGGCCTGACGAGAATCTATCGAAAGCAAACTTAAGCTCCCAAACTGGTCTTCTGAAGTTAAACAAGGTTGACAGTCGGGGAGGAGCTGATCAATGGAAACTTGCCAAGTTGTGGGGAAACTCAAGACGACTGGCTGACAGAGTTGGCAATTATCCTTTTTTTGGCAAATAAAATAAGTACGCGGCAGAAGGGCATGCTCACTACTACAGTGAGTGACTTGGCAGGATTTCAGCTTTGGAATAGACTGCTTTTCAACCTCCTGTAGAAACCGTACTTGGTAAAAAATGACTACTCACTTAGCATGCATTTTTCCATTGGTTTTCGATGGCCTTGCAAATTCAAATATATTTTATAGAAGCCATAACCAAAGGTATGCTTTCTTTCTGTCCTTTAATAAAGAATCACGTCCTCTTTATATTTTATACTCAAGGAAGGAGTATAATTAGGTTTCAAAAAGTTTCTTATTACGAGATTTTTTAAGACCGCGCAACGTCCACTCACCTAGCATCGTACCTGTCCGTTTGCCACAGCTCCTCATGAAATGTACAACATAGTCCGCATCCATTGCAAAATTTTATGGACGATTTATGATATCTTTTTAAAGGCATAGAAGAATATGTGATTTTCTTTACGCGGAACGCATGCACCTTGTAGACTGAAATCACTAAGCGCTACTGCAATGAATGGTCAGACTTTAAATTATTCGGCAATTAGAAAACTGTTTGAAACCTAATTATACTCCTTCCTTGAACATAAAATATAAAGAAGATGTGATTCTCTATCAAACGACTTGTAGAAAGCGTATTTTTGCTCGTGATTTCTCTAAAATATACTTGAATATACAAGAACATCGAAAATTTGCGTGAAAAATTAACGCTACTTAAGTATTAATTTTTTTTACCGAGTACGGTTTCTACAGGTGATTGAAAAGCAGTGTATTCAAAAGCTGACATCCTGCTGAGTCCGAAATATCATAGGATTATGCCGTAAGATAATCATTATTACAACCGCGCCCAAGTAATCCTTCCTAATCGAAAACGCATTTCAGAATTTCAGCCAACATTTAATGAGGTCGGTCACTCACTGTATATAACGGTGTAATTCAGGGACACCACTGCACGCAGGCTGTGGACATCTGACTACGAAAGGACTTTTACTTGGCCAGTTCGCTCAGTGCAGCTATATAAAGCTTGTTCTGAGGGAGGATTTTCGAATGAGAGGCTACTTTTTCCCGTCGCATCTTCCCACTGAACGATCGTTCGCGTTTGGACACCCGAGTAGGGACATTCCGTGCGGAAGGGAAGTCAGTAGAGGTAAAACAAAGCCCTTACCTGCATCAAGAAGGAGTTGCTCCTTCCTCCTGCTGGCAAAGTAGCTCGTGTGGTTGTGAGCTCGACTGGCCAACTTTGCGTACAGTCGAGCCTCTTCTTCCTTCTCCACAGCCAGGTCCCGCGCACACGACGGTTTTCCCGATGCAGTGTGCAGGGAGGTGCTGGAGCGATATGGTCCGGCTCGCCCACACATCTCTTCTGTGGCACCGGTGGATGCCAGAGGCAGTGTAGTCCTTTCAACGGTGAGCGCGGGCAGTACCCATTCGCCGGTATCTTCGTCATAGCTTTTACCCGGGGGTCAAAGGAAAGTGAACTTGTTCATAGTGACCTAGCTCACGAAATGTGCGCAAATTCTCCTAACAGTCCTTACGACTGGGAAACTGACCAAATTGCACCCACTATAACAAATAGTTAGGGGCGAACAATCTTTGGATAAAGTAAGACAGAAGAAGTATGGAAATGTGATACTGTGTTGGCTGTGAATGACATTTTTTACAAATATGGAAATTTATGGGCCATTTTGACGGATTTATGTTATTAATTAAATGAGCCTAGTAGTTATCTGGTGGAATCTTGATTGATTCCTTAAGAAATCCTTCTTAGGAAATCCGCCCACTCTATCGGAATTGGTGGATTGAATACGTTGCAGTAGGTTGGGAGAGTCATTTGAACGAGATGTAATTCAGCTCGTAACCCCCATTCAGGGCCTCATAGCTCAGGTTGTTGGAGCATTGGCTGTACACAAGCCTTACACTTGCTGTAGTGAGTTCGACTCCCATCAAGGTTGCTGATCTTTTCACGATCAAACCGGATGAAATATGTAAATGACAAAAAGGCCGAAATTCGGATCGAACATGCAAAAGTACTTTTTAGAAGCGTACGACATACTTATGGATACAACCCAACAAATAAAACTACGCGAGCACAACAAGGTTCAAGAATCCCTTCTGACGATTTTGAGGCCAAATATCCTGCAAGAACTAGTACAATGAGC